TCGAAAACTAAAAACCGTTTGTGATTTCGCTGTTTCCATGTTTTTGACGTGAAAAACGCGAGGTGGTTCGGATGTTCGGTCGTTCGCAGATTCGACAATTTGTCCAAAATCGTGTAACATTGTCTTTTTAGTTATATTTATAGATAAAAGTAAATAAGTTGATATTTCAATTCTTAAATTTTATATAAGATTTTATGATGTCCGCAATTAAATAAAGTTTTTGCTTTTAGTTTGAGTAGAAAATATCGTTATTTTGAGGTGGATTGGTGTTTTTCTTTGTTATCTATGTAATAATAAATATAAATAAATAATCGATTTATTTTAATATAAGGTTATGTAGTATGTATGCACGTGAGATTTTACATAATAATTGTCCTTCCTTTTCACATGTTTATCTTATATTATTTACAATAATATATAATGCTTAGAGAGAAGCAATTATTTAATAGGATGTTAATAATCCTGTGTAATTTCGTGAGGGGTTTTTTTATTTCTATGTAAAGTCATCCCGCCAAGAAATTGCTTTTTGACAGCTTTGATAAGCATGATAAACAACGCTTCCAAATAAACAAAGTTTTATAAAGAGGGATCAGTCCAAATTATTTTGAAACATGTTGTTTTTTAATACTTAATATAATATTGAATGTAACTAACATTGATTTTCAACAATCACTGACACATAAATTTATGTACAAATTTTTTACAAAAATGAATGTCTGTCTGAATTGCTAAAGTCTTTTTTATGAATTTCAGCCAATTTATAAAATTTTATATAGTACATGATATATTTCGTTTTGTAAATAAAAAAAAGACGCATGTACATCTTACTTGAAAATGAGATTCTTTTAAATTTATAAAATTTACGAATAATGCGAGATTTCATTACAAATAAAAGAAAAAGAAAATTGTAACTCTTAAGAGAAGTTACTTAAGGCCAGGTCCAAGTGAGGCAGCGCCATCTACATTGAAACTAAAATTTTGGAAAATTTTCAACAGCCTTTTCTTGAAAACTTTTTTTGAGTTAAAATAATAAAAAAAATTTCATGTCAATAAATTAAATATGAGCACTTTTTTCACAAAAACTGTAACAGTACTTTCTCAGAAATTACAATCAAAAATGCAATTTCCATTTGGAAAATTAATAAACGCTAAAAAATCCACGACCTAAGATTTACCAATCACGAAAATAACAAAAAAAAAGTATTTTAACATAACATATTTTACTCATTATGACAGCCGTTTAGCAGGTTATATATGTCACCAGACGTTTCGCAGTTTTGCCGAAAGGAGGAGATTGGCGCTGTTGCTAACCACCTGAAATACATAATCTACCAAAGGGCTGTCACAATCAGTAAAGCAGTATCAATATGTTAAATATTTAATAAAATTTTTTTTTGTTATTTTCGTGATTGGTAAATTTTAGGTCGTGTATTTTTTAGCGTTTATTAATTTTCCAAATGGAAATTGCATTTTTGATTGTAATTTCTGAGAAAGTACTGTTACAGTTTTTGTGAAAAAAGTGCTCATATTTAATTTATTGACATGAAATTTTTTTTATTATTTTAACTCAAAAAAAGTTTTAGTTGGTGTATATTTTGCCAATAATCAATTATCCATAAAGGAAAAAGCATTTTACCATCTTATTTTCAAGAACAGGCTGTATTGAAAATTTTCCAAAATTTTAGTATCAATGTAGATGGTGCTGCCTCACTTGGACCTGGCCTTAACAAAAGAATTAGAATTATTAGGACATATAATTACATGTGAATACTTTTTTAGACATTTTATTTCTAAATTAATACAATAAATAACTATCAATTCCAAAAAAAATTATTTTATATGATATGACCAATCCACCTCAAAATAACGATATTTTCTACTCAAACTAAAAGCAAAAACTTTATTTAATTGCGGACATCATAAAATCTTACATAAAATTTAAGAATTGAAATATCAACTTATTTACTTTTATCTATAAATATAACTAAAAAGACAATGTTACACGATTTTGGACAAATTGTCGAATCTGCGAACGACCGAACATCCGAACCACCTCGCGTTTTTCACGTCAAAAACATGGAAACAGCGAAATCACAAACGGTTTTTAGTTTTCGAGGCTAAAATGAATCGAGCATAAACTTGGTTTTGTGGTGGCGCGTAGAAGCTTTCGTAGCTTAATCGCCATTTTGGATTTCCCCTTACCCAACTTGAACAACCTAATACATTTGATCCACGCAAAAATGCGATCGCAAAATAGGAAATAGGAAAGTAATAATGACAGCTGCGACTTTGTGGTCCCTGCATGCTTCTGCCATCTAATGGCGGCAAGACGTAATAAAGCTAAAATTATATTACTTTCCTATTTCCAATTTTACGATCGCGTTTTTGCATGGATTTGAAAAATTTTTCGGATTTTGGAAATGTATAAGATGCGATAATTAAATGACATAAAATTCAGAGAACTTTGAATATTCTTAATGGTAAATTTTTTTTTTTTTATCATATGAACACTACTCACATGATAAAATCGTCGGCGAATATGTCACACTTCGCTTTCATTTATTTTTTTTAAATTATATATTTCTTATTCCAAATCGGCTTTTTTAGACTTCGAAGCATTTATTTTATTCATTTATAATGCAAACTCGAATAAACAAACGTCAATTTAAATGTTTAAGAAAAAAGAATTCACGGTAAAAAAAAAATAATTCACCGTAACGTTCCAATTCGGTTTTTTCGCCAAACCGAATTCAGCTTAAGTTACCACCAATTCTTATCGCTTACTCCTAATTCTTTTTTTTACTGGGCCGATAGAAATATCTCCAAAACAAATTTTTTTTTTGAAATGTGGTAGTGAGAGGAGTATTGTTTTACTTATGCGCATCTTTGGCAACTATTAGTAATTAGGTTACGTGCAAGTTTTCATGTTTACACTTTTTGGTCTTTTTTTTGCATTTTTAAAGATATCGATACGTATTTTTTTTAAAATGATCCAAATTTATCGAAGGATTTAATAGTGTATGAAACCTAACATTTAATTTATCTAGTTTTTTAATATTTGATAAAAAGTGAGCGTCGACACAACGAGGTTAATTGTGCCTTTCCCTTGGGGCTGGTTGTGCCGCTGTCAATCGCTATATAACCATAATCTACTATAGACCTTTTTTAAAAAGGTCTATTGCCTCGTTTGTTCGAATAGTTATTCCAACCCGAAATCAAGAGAAAAGTAAATTCAATGCATCGTTTACAAAAACTGGGCACCTTTAAAATGTGTGAAGGGTAAAAAAGAATCAGTTATATGTATGTCAATTGTATAACATTTAATATGTACTTTTAAATTAATTAAACATGAAATTAAATTAAATAATTGAAATTACATTAATAAATATTTAAAATTTCTAATATTTCTGACATAATGATTTCCTTTAAAATTTTTAAAAAAGCACTTTATTTTAATAATAAATAACAAAAAACAATGTAATGAAAATTGCTTTACAGCTCACTCCAGCAGCAGACAACAAAATATTTCCTCTGTTTTCACGACACTTTCACATTTAATCGTGAGAGGCGCCACTGTGGCTAGAAGACTCCGAACTCATTACTCTTGCAAGAAACCCGCATGAGAACGAAAGAGATAGTGAGATATGTTCATCTCTTTTGTTCTCATGTTTTCCGCTTTTACGCTGTCATGGGACGGTGCCTATTATATTCAGTTTGAGCAAAAATAATAAATGAACTTCATATAATAATTTTAAATTTAAGTGTTATTTAAATATTGCGCAAACTTTCCTGCAGGCAGGCAAACGGGAAATTTTTCTGTATTCCCAGTGCATGTATGAGATAGTGTGACCGTACCCTAAATATGGAGTCAAAAATACACATGTTTAAACTTGGACAGAAATGAAATTTCTAAAATAAATTAAAGATTCAAATGATTAAAACATATTAAAGAGTCTGTTTTGTGAAGAAGTTTTAAAAAACATAAGTTACATGCAGTAGGAGTAATAGAGATAGTAAATTTAAATTTTCTCTCTCACTCTCTCTCTTATTCTTGCACGTTGCCATGACAACTCCTGCAGGCAGCCAAGAAGGTGTGAGTGCGCCCGTAGACTTTTTTTTCTAAAGGTGCTTGTATACCTCACCGATCCCGAGTATACTTCCGTCGTGTATCATTGGAGTAAAAGAGACACAATTATCTGTTATCTCTTTTACTCCAATGCTGCACGACGATAATACTCGGGATCGGTGAGGTATACAAGCGCCTTAAGTAATATTATTTTTTGGTTAATCTGTTTATCATATAATTAAAATTTTATTTTGATAAATGTTGAAATACTTGATAAAAAATCGGAATGTTTTTTATGCTAATTGTGATTGTGCTTTCTTCTTCAATTTAAAAAACATAATTAATAAAATTTCTAAAAATTAATTAATAATTAACAACACGTAATCAGAGTGAAGGCCTGAGCAGAATAGAAACGTAACCGGAATCATAATCGCAACCGGAAGAATGAGTTAGAGAAGGATAGACATATTGTTTGTCCTTCTCTAACTCAGTATTCCGATTGCGTCTGCGATTACGATTCCGATTACGTTTGTATTCTGCTCAGGCCTTAAGGTGGTTCCAGAATAGGTGAAAAAGCCAAGTGCAAGTCCAAGTGGCAATCTCATGAGTGTGAAAGAGATAGGTAGTCTATCTATCTCTGTTGCACTCATGGGATTTGCATTTGGACTTGTACATGGCTTTTGCACCTATTCTGGAACCGCCTTCAACATTTATAATTTATGTTTGCAACAGACGTAAAATACGTAGAAAATACAAGACGTAAATTACCAGGTAATATACGCACGTGGTTAAGTATGTCTACTCTATTTTGTCCTTGTTTAATGAACGTGTTGTCATGACAACACGTGCGTTAGACAAAGACAGAGTTATATTCGTGTCATTTTCTATCTCTCTACTGTTTCTATTTGCGTAGTTATTGTGCGTTTTCCTTTAAATACCTGTGTTCAAAACTGATGTTTATTCTTTTCTGTTCAATATAACCTATAAGTACTTCTTATTAATGTAATATTCAACTAGTAATTCGTAACTTTGAAGTTGTAAATAAATTGAAAAAATATATTTTAATTTAGTTAATCAACATTTATGTAAACATGAAAATTTTTTCAAATAGAACATATAATTTGTTAATGATAAATTATGTTAATGCGACTATGTGACGATGTTAATTAGTGCATATTAAATTTTTTATTAATCTTGTAGTTCCAAACGATATTTATAATGTTTGCTGTACATATATCAAATATACTGATGAGGTCTTCACCTTCACATCTTTCTCGGGCTGTATATATTAGAACTCCTTTTGATTCTCTTTACTTTGGTCACTGTCGATCATTCAAAAGACAAGGTAAGAAAAAAGAATTTTTTTTAGAAAAACCAAAAGAATGAACATGCTTTTCACTAATCTACTGAAAGCTACTATTTGCTACTTTTTGTTTTGCTACTTTTTTTAAACTTTTACCAATAAAAGCTACATTTTTAAAATTTTTAGAAATTTTTAACATTTGTTTACATTAAATTTTTTGAATATAAATTGAATTTATTATTGATTTAAATAAATTAAAGACCGAATTCATTTCAAATCAGACAGGCTTGACTTGGTCGGAGCTGAAAATAATTTTCACCTTCAAAATGTTGTTCTTCAATGAATTTTAGACGACACGTATTTTTTTATTTTGCTGAAAAAAATTTTTTCTTTAAGTTATAAGGAGTTCAAATATATAAGTCGAGAACTTCTTTTTTTTAAAATGAAGAGAAAAAATCTTAAAAGTGATGTAACTTTTTGAGTAATTAAGATAATTCACTTTTTCCTTTTGTGTCTGAAAGGACTTTTATTCTTCTTTCGAAATCCATTGGAAAATTTAAAAAATATTTAAAAATAACAAAATGGCGGCCATTTTAATAAAAAACTTTCATTTGAAATTACTCAAAAACCCCACCTTTTTTTTTGCTCAAAATTTTTTTGGGAATTGTGTTCATAGAGAGGAATATTGCCCACAAGAATTTAACTTGTGCCCGATTCTGGCACAAGAGAAAAAATTTTTTTTATATTTTTTAAAAGAAAAACATCATTTTTCTCAAAAAATACACTAGATATGTCTCAGATAAAAGTTGTTCCTCGTTAAAAGACCTAAAAAATGTCTGTTGTCATTTTTGTCCATCTTGTGTTTGTTCAACAATATTTGCAAAACATGGATTAAAAGCTCACATTTATTGCTTTTTAAATATCATTTAAAATAGTTTCATAAATCTGTTTGAAATAGTTCTTTTTTTGTCTTTTTCCATAACAACAATCAAATAATAATTAATAATCTTTACTGTCACAGTGGTTAAAATTGTTAATTTTTTTGTGTTCAGTAAAATAATAGCGAGTATTAATATTAAGAAATTAAAGAAACAGTTAGTATTTTTTAAAAAGCAAAATAAGGTATGTTTATATAATTTTTGTATTGTAATGTCACTATTATTATTTTTAAATATCTAAAGGTCTTTTAGGTCTTTTAACGAGGAACAACTTTTATCTGAGACATATCTAGTGTATTTTTTGAGAAAAATGATGTTTTTCTTTTAAAAAATATAAAAAAAATTTTTTCTCTTGTGCCAGAATCGGGCACAAGTTAAATTCTTGTGGGCAATATTCCTCTCTATGAACACAATTCCCAAAAAAATTTTGAGCAAAAAAAAAGGTGGGGTTTTTGAGTAATTTCAAATGAAAGTTTTTTATTAAAATGGCCGCCATTTTGTTATTTTTAAATATTTTTTAAATTTTCCAATGGATTTCGAAAGAAGAATAAAAGTCCTTTCAGACACAAAAGGAAAAAGTGAATTATCTTAATTACTCAAAAAGTTACATCACTTTTAAGATTTTTTCTCTTCATTTTAAAAAAAAGAAGTTCTCGACTTATATATTTGAACTCCTTATAACTTAAAGAAAAAATTTTTTTCAGCAAAATAAAAAAATACGTGTCGTCTAAAATTCATTGAAGAACAACATTTTGAAGGTGAAAATTATTTTCAGCTCCGACCAAGTCAAGCCTGTCTGATTTGAAATGAATTCGGTCTAAAAGTTTAAATATATTTAAATTAAAACAACTTTTATCAATTTTAGAGTATTTATATACTTAAATTATTGTGTATTTATTGAAATTGATTTTAATAATAACAACCCACTGGACAAAAAACCATGTTCTTTTTAAAAACGTTTTAAGAACGTTTCATGTCTGCCAAATAATGTTCTGAAACATTTTAAGAACATAGCTGTTCAAATAATGTTCTAAAACATTATTTGGCCGACATGAAACGTTTTTAAAACGAACATAGTTTTTTGCCCACTGTGAATTTAGGACAAAATTTAGAATTTAGGAAAAAATATTCTAATAACAATCATAATACTATTTTTAAAATTTAATTCTAGAATTTTATTCACATTTAAATATCCCGTGTGGAAAAGTGATGTGGGCCCTCAGCGGGGCCCTTATGCTGTGAGGGGCGCATGTGGGTGATCTATAGGGACGTCTCATGGAAACGACATGCTCATCGATGAGAATACCCCTATGCGCGCCCTCATGGTCCCTCACGTTTGCCCTTAACTAGCCCTCAAGTTTGCCTTAATGTTTTTTAATCAACAATATTAATAATAATAGTTAATTAATAATAAATAAGCTTAAATTATGAATGAATAACATATTTATTTACTAATTCTTCCATTTTTAAATTAAATTCTTACTCAAATTGAATTTATTAATTAACGTTCTAATTAATTAACTGTCGGATATAGATTAAAAGTAATGATAAATTTATTACAACTAGGTGTTCATTTCATGACCATTTAGCTTGCTCATCATGATACACTTATATTCAAGATTAAAAGAAGGATTACAACTAAAGTAGCGATCAATTTTAAAAATATTATTAAAATGTAAACTTTGTATACCTCAATCGATTCGTTTTTATGCCAGGAATACAATTTTGACAAGAATTAATTAAAATTTTTATATCAGAAAAAGTTATTTCAAAAAATTCCTCATGAGGAAGCAAAATTAATAAATATCGAATCGAATCTACGACCTACGGACTATGAGCCCAACGCTTTACCAACTACGCTACGCACGCTACGTGAAAACGAATGCTAACTTCTTGATGGCATTTAAACTTGCAAAATACCTAACTCAGAAAAGTGCTTAACATCATTCAGTTACAGTTAAGATATTAAATTATATTTTCCAATCAAATGCAATTTATAAAATATACTTAATTATATGCTTTATGATTATTATCATGAATCATCCCAGGTGAATTTTCAAAAAAAGTGAAAATATATTTTTATTAAAAACGCGTTTTTCATTGTTCTGAATCATTGTAAACATTAATTTTTTGGTGATAAAAAAATATTTGACTTTTGAACTTAGAAAATTTTGCTATTCTATCATGTGGGCGATCCATACGGGCCCCTACGCTGGCCCTCATGGATTCGCCATATGGATCAACCCTCATGCGCCCCCGCCGGGGGCCCCGAAGTCTTGGGGGCAAGATCGTGGCTTATTCCACACGGGATGATTTAATTTTAATTAAAGTTAAATTTTATTGAAATTAATTTTGTTTAATAATTTTTATTGTATGGACAAATCATTTTATTTCCCTAATGTAATTTCGACCTGTTTAAAAAACTTTAATACTCCAGGAAAATATTTCTACATGTTTTGAGATAACAAAAGGCATAATAATTTCTAAAAGAATCATTTTTCATTTAAAAAAAGATTTTTTAAATTGAGACGACAAGAAAAAATGACACATTGACTGTCAACCAAAAATATTATAAAAAACCAATGATTACCTTTAAAATAATTGGTATTTTTTAAAAAAGGCTTAATTTATGTTTGGCACATATTTAAAGTATTTAATAATATTAAATACCTATGTAAAACATGTTATTTAAGTTTGTGTACAAAATGTCATATTTAACCATTTTTTTCTGGATATTATTTCAATTTCAGTAAATTGGAACAATGCTAACAATAATTCAAATACTTATTAACACAGTTCAAATTTTCTTTTCTTTATTTAAAATTTTCATTTTCTAAAACGATTTTCTTCTCAAATTATATATATTTTTTGTAATTCATTAAGTTTTTATATTTATTCATTTTTATATATAATTGGTCTAACATTATCAAATCTTCTCGTAAATTCTTTTCCTTTTTTGCAATTTTTTAAGTTTTTGATTTTTCTTTCACATTTTCTTCACATTGTATTATACATTTTTTTTAATTTTCTAAAATTTTCATGTTATTAATTCTTTTTCAATTTTTCTAAAAATTCTCATGTTTTTCTTCTTTTTTAATTTTTCGTCTTAAACTTTTCGACAATATTTAAATATTTTTCTCTAAAATTCTTCTTTTATTTTAGGAATTCTTGAAATTTATTTATCAGTTAATTATTTAATTCTTAAATTTTCTCAAGACTAACTTTTGATTTTATGTAACTACGAGAATGTTTGTTATTAATTCAATTATTAGAAAAGCATTTTTGATAATGTTATAATTTAACACCTGTACCCACTGATTGTGAATCTGAATTTGTAAAATGTATTCCACGTGAGAAAAAGAAGTACATATTAATTAACTAAAAATTGTAAATATTATGTAAGTAAACAAAAAAAATTTTAACATATATGTTTTCTAAATTTTTTTGTGCTCTTGCGATTGGTGAAAAAAAAAATTTCAAAAAATTCAAAATTTGACCCTTTTTTCTGAAAATCAAAAATTTTTGGATTTTTTTTTAAGTTTGGTCTTTTTTTAAAATTTATTTTTTTTAAAAGTTAAAAATGTGCATTTTTACCTCAAAAAATATTGAGATGTCCTTTTTTGTTATTTTCGAGATATTACTTAATTAATTAATTAATGTCAATAAAAATTTATTTATTTTATAAACGAATAAAAGTATTGTAATTCTAACGTTACTAAATGAAAGTTGACATAATTCCGCATCCAACGAGCCCTATATGAAGTAACTTTACTTATTTGTGAAATATTTAATTTTTTATTAACATTAATTAATTAATTAATATCTCGAAAATAACAAAAAAGGACAGCTCAATATTTTTTGTTGTGAAAATACACATTTTTAGCTTTAAAAAAAAATAAATAAAAAAAATAAAAAGGACCGAACTTAAAAAAAAATTCGAAAGAATGTTTAATTTTCAAAAAAAGGGTCAAAATTTGAATTTTTTTGCACCATTCAAAAGACCAGGAAAAAACCTTTCGAAAACATTTAGGACAAATTTTTCTTCTTCTTTCTGTTTAAAAGTTACAAGTCTTCAAATATTCACTGTTTAAATTTTTCAAAAAAATTCAATCCCCTCCCTCTTCGACATTTTTTGAAAAAACCTAACAATACTTCGTGCTTACATTACTCACCCCTAGGGCTAAACTATGTGCAAGTTACAGCCCGATCCGATCAACTTTTTTTTCACTAATTTCGCTACAGGAATTTTACCCCATATGAGAGATTCTTTTTCAATCGCCCCAGCCCAAAAAGTCAATGTTCTGGGATTGGCTTCATACTTTGGTAAATTGTTGTCCTATATGATAGTAATAAATCCCTAAAATGTAAACTCATTAAAAAAATATTTGTAGAAAGTAGAGGGGGTTGAAGTTTTGACGTTAAGGGTAACATTGTCATTTTTAAATCTGTATAACTATGACAAAAGTTAATGAATTTTCATTTATCTATAATGAATTTTAAAGCATTTTTCACGTACTTTTCAAAAATGTATACGAAATTAAAAAAAAAATTTCACTTTTTTTTCAAAATCAACCCTTAATTTTCGATTTTACCCCTTCGGGTATTTTTTTTTATTTTCATTGGAAAGTTGAGGTTTTTTCCCACTCTCTTAATTTGAATCAGTGAAATTTCACTGGTGAAATAGCTAGAAGTCGGTTACTGAATCATTTAGTGAAATTTTCACTGAAAATCAGTCATATATCACTGATTTCCAGTGAAAATTTCACTAAATGAATCAGTCAATCTGTATTATCGGTAATGGGTAAAACAGATTGACTGATTCATTCAGTAAAATTTTCACTGAAAATCAGTGATATATGACTGTTTTTCAGTGAAAATTTCACTAAATGTTTCAGTAACCGACTTCTAGCTATTTCACCAGTGAAATTTCACTGATTCAAATTAAGAGAGTGGGAAAAAACCTCAACTTTCCAATGAAAATAAAAAAAAATACCCGAAGGGGTAAAATCGAAAATTAAGGGTTGATTTTGAAAAAAAAGTGAAATTTTTTTTTTAATTTCGTATACATTTTTGAAAAGTACGTGAAAAATGCTTTAAAATTCATTATAGATAAATGAAAATTCATTAACTTTTGTCATAGTTATACAGATTTAAAAATGACAATGTTACCCTTAACGTCAAAACTTCAACCCCCTCTACTTTCTACAAATATTTTTTTAATGAGTTTATATTTTAGGGATTTATTACTATCATATAGGACAACAATTTACCAAAGTATGAAGCCAATCCCAGAACATTGACTTTTTGGGCTGGGGCGATTGAAAAAGAATCTCTCAGGTCTGTGAAGTTGAAACCCCCAGTTAAATATTTTTTCATTTTCTATATTGGATTCGTTTGTCCATAATAAGTTCACGTTTGTACAACAAAAATTTTCATTTGTCCACCTTTTGTTTTTGAAAAAAATCAAAAAAATTTTTTTTTTAGATTAAGAACCACTAAAAAATGCAAAATTAACGGTTTCAACTACACGTATCGTTTGTCCAGAGTTAGTCCACATTTTTTGCAACAACAACAATTTTTTTTTTTTTTTTTTTAATAAAAGTATACAGCCTTTGACCTCTATGACAAACTTTTAATAAAGCAAAAATAAAGGTTTCAACAAAATTTAAAAGATGGACAAATTAATTCAAGGGTTGATAAACAATAAAAGAAATCATTTTGCTTAAAAACTAACCACTAATGAATTGTCATTTCCCCTCTTATATCACAAGTTTTCCAATTTTCGCAAGTTTAAAGGGTGGACAAATTAATTTAAGGGTTGGATAAACGAATTCAATGCTTGGACAAACAAACAAAGTTGATAAACGATAAAAAAATCAATTTGTTTAAAAATTAACCACTAATGAATGGTAATTTTCCTTCTATTATCACAAGTTTTCCAATTTTCGCAAGTTTAAAGGGTGGACAAATTAATTTAGGTAAGGGTTGGACAAACAAAGTTGTTTAAGAATGTATTTAGAACTATATTTTTGAGTTAAGACAATTTAAAGTAGCAATATGCGCTTTATGTTTACATTTTGTATTGTTAACGTGTAACAAACTTTATTTATTCGGGTTATTATTTTTTGCTAAAATAGCATTTATGTTAAAATTATTGTTTTATGAGTAATAAGGTTGTATATACTTTGCTTGAAACTCCATAAGTATTGTGATATGTAACGCTTAACAAACATACAAAATGTAAACATAAAGCGCATATTGCTACTTTAAATTGTCTTAACTCAAAAATATAGTTCTAAATACATTCTTAAACAACTTTGTTTGTCCAACCCTTACCTAAATTAATTTGTCCACCCTTTAAACTTGCGAAAATTGGAAAACTTGTGATAATAGAAGGAAAATGACCATTCATTAGTGGTTAATTTTTAAACAAATTGATTTTTTTATCGTTTATCAACTTTGTTTGTTTGTCCAAGCATTGAATTCGTTTGTCCAACCCTTAAATTAATTTGTCCACCCTTTAAACTTGCGAAAATTGGAAAACTTGTGATATAAGAGGGGAAATGACAATTCATTAGTGGTTAGTTTTTAAGCAAAATGATTTCTTTTATTGTTTATCAACCCTTGAATTAATTTGTCCATCTTTTAAATTTTGTTGAAACCTTTATTTTTGCTTTATTAAAAGTTTGTCATAGAGGTCAAAGGCTGTATACTTTTATTAAAAAAAAAAAAAAAAAAAAAAAAATTGTTGTTGCAAAAAATGTGGACTAACTCTGGACAAACGATACGTGTAGTTGAAACCGTTAATTTTGCATTTTTTAGTGGTTCTTAAAGATTATGTTGTAAGAGTTTAAAATTTTTCCACACATTATTCTAGATTATATCGAGAATCAAAAACATTAGTACGAAAGGAGGAAAATTGTATATTTTTTTCCTGAATCTTTTCTGGTGTTATAATCGCTCCAAAAAGTAGAAAAAAAATCCTTGATATACATTCAAACGCAGTATTTTATCAGCTTTCCAACCATCTAAGTTTCAAGTCTCTTACTTTTTTCTGTCTTAAAATATTTTGCTTTAAAGTCAGCATCAAATTTCCACTTTACGCTCGTCAAGCGTACCTACAATTTCTGACGGTATTGTATTCTTAAAAAAAGTATGTCCAGGTTAGTAAATGAAAATTAGTCGTTTTAGAGAGACAACGTGAGAGTGGTTTTTTTAGACCAGTGGCGTAGCGCTGGGTGTGCGAAGTGTTGAATCGCACAGAACTTCGCATACCTAAGGATCTCGGTATAAACTGCTGGAGTGAAATCATTTTAGAACATTTAAAAAATAAATTTTGTAAAAGTTTGTTACTTTTAATTTTAATAAAATTTGGAGTCGAAGGAAAATTTAAAAATAAATTTTGTAATTTAAATATGCAAACATTGATGAATGTTTTTTTAAATCCTCTTTTGTAAAAGTTTATTCCAACTTATTTTCAGTAGGAATATCCTAAAATAAAATAAATAAAAAAAAAAATTTCCCCGTGCAGAAATTTTGAACGGACCATGGCAGGATCCACTTTGGGAAACACCAAATCTGCATGAAATACTGTATCTGGTTGGAGACACGCAGAAAAAGCCCTATTTCAGTCCGACACACGATAATATGAAGAAATGAAAATTTTATTAAAGAAAAATTCTAGCACATAGAATTCTGTCTTCTGAATATTCTGAACAATCAACTCATTGTCAATACTTTTTTTGAAACACCCCACCCTATTTACAAATAATATATTATGACTTAAAATGTTTAAATCAAAATCTAGTCTTCCCTTAACAGTTTTAACTAATTGTCATGGTGTAATGTAATTTTCATCTTTAAAATTTTTCATTTAGTTGCTGGGCGGCCGTGGAATTATGGTAAGCTAAACAAATGTTGTAGCCAACGTATAAATTCATGGATCACAGAACAAGGGTTTAAAATAATTTGTACATGTATAAAGCAGTTAGAATTTATGGCAGCACAACGCATTGAACGAAGTGTTCAGGTATTTCAATTCTATATAAGACTATGGGACAAGGTTATTCTAAAGGAACTCATTAAATTTTGGAGAAAAAAATCTTTTCATAAAAATAAAACATATCTTTTGAGTACAATAGGCATTGTTGCTTATAACTGGGATAAAGAACGAATAACTAATGAAGAAATGGAAAGGTAAAATTTTAATATACTTTTGTACATTCAAAATTATAAAACCACTTACAAAAAACATATCGCAAGAATAGTAATGAAAACATTTTTGCACTACTTTTCTCCACTATCGGATATTGCAGGGTGAAACTTGTTTTGCACTGTAAAGAAATAATTTATTATACTTTTAGATAATTTAAATTTATGGAATAAGGAAAACCGGAGACCCATGAGGCACTTGTCATATTTAAAAATGTACAAGTCGGTATCGTTAAAGTAGAAACTTAATGTTAAGTAGTTTCGATATGATTATGTTTGCCATATAGTGAATGACTGGGATATCATGAGTCAATCAAACTTCTTGGAGACAATACATGTAACAAGCATTTACACACAAAAAAATTAATGGTAAATTTAACTACATTTTAACTATTTCTCCTAGTTCCCGGAGGCGCCTATAACAAACAGTTGTTGAAACAACTATGTAGAAATTGTCGCATTAACCTAACAGAGAAAAATCCCTAAACTCTGGGGAATGAACGCATGACCCTAACATTCGCAAGCCGACAACTTAACCATCTAACCACGCACGCACGCTAGGATGGCTTGCATGATATTTGAGGACATTCTTGTCACTATGCATTTAATTTTACTATCGAATGTAGTCAAATTTACTACTTTTAATAGTTATTATCTTCTTTTAATCAATACTTCTCGAAATTTACATAAAAACTTTTTCAACTGCTAATAATAGTAATATTTACTACAAAATAACAGTTAATTCTACAACAAAAATTACATGTTACACTTGAACGACAGTCTTTACATTAATAGTGTATTAATAATAGAGTAATAACGGTAGTTCACTCAACATTTTATTAATCAGTAAATTCACCCTAACAGAAACCGGCCGGTAGAGTGGGGGTATAGTGCTTCCCTTCACGGGGCTAATTTGGACACTGACCCCTCGAGCTCCGACTTTATAGCCCGGCCGGTAGAGTGGGGGTATATGACTTCCCCTCATGGGAGTGAAACGGTCATCGCCCGAAAACAGTATGTAAGTCCAATTTTTTCTGAAACTAATAAGAAATGTTTTTTTCTACTACACAAATCCTAAAAATGGATTTAAACTTTAACTCTTTAACAATTGAAATTTTAAAAGCCATTTAAAATCACATGACAGTTATTTTAACTACAAATATTAGTAATTTTAACTAGATGGAATTGACTACTAAAATTTTATTACCACCAACTGTGTAAGTTTAGTTAAAATGGTTCTGAATATGGTACTTTTAACTCCTTTTTTTAACTACACATTTTGTCATTTTTACCAATGCAATTTTTTTGTGTGTAGTCATTGTAGACACATTCTGTAATTTAAAAATTATTTTTTTATATTGTAAGTTTAATATAATGCATTATACTTTTTTTTATTTAAAGTAGGAACTTAAGGGGGAAGTCTACTGTGACAAGGTAAAAAACAGGCCGATTTTCCGGATTTTTTTCTAACAAAATATGACTCGTACATTAAATTAAATTAAACCGTCATCTTTATTATATATACAAGTATTTGTAAAAAAAATTTCAAGTTTTTGTTTTAGATCACCCAGACGTGAGATTTCATGTACACCGTTTGAGCACCTAAAAAAACAGATTTTCGCTTGAAGGAGTGCCATGTCGGCAATTTTGAATATTTCGACTTGAAATTTTTTTTACAAATACTTGTATATATAATAAAGATGACGGTTTAATTTAATTTAATGTACGAGTCATATTTTGTTAGAAAAAAATCCTGAAAATCGGCCTGTTTTTTCCCTTGTCACAGTAGACTTCCCCCTTAAATATTACGAATCAAGTGTCTAATATTTTATATCTGATATGTTACACTAAACCGGAGTCATGGGACCCCGGTACGGAGATGAATGTTTTTTTTAATGTTTTTCAAAATATCTTATCACATTGATAATAGGATTTCTAAAAAGTGTCTCATGAGTCCCCGGTCTTCCTTATTAACCTATTAACGTCCATGCTTAGACACATGGAAATATCTGAAAAATCAAAATTGCCCAGTGAGAAATTGCCAAGACTGAATATTGGCTAAATATTGGACCAGTTATTTTAGCCGATATTGGACCAACTCTGGGAGTGTAGAGACAAATGCCAAGACTCGAATTTCAATATTGGCCCAATATTCAATCAATATTAAAAAAAACAAAAAATCAGACTTCAGCCAAGATTAAAAAAATTAATTATTAAAACTGAAATATATTAAAAATTTTTGTTATATTTCTATATATTTTATATTTTATTTTATATTTTATTATATATAATAACATTATTATTTCCCTTCAGATCAAGGGTTATATATAACATCATCCGCAATAAACGGAAGAAAAAATATTTTCTCACGTCCTGCTAAGCATTAACAATTATCAGCTTAATTAAAGAGATATTGTAATGTTTATGTTGTTTATGAGAGAGAAAAACATTGTCATCTGGCGGATAGTTGGAAAGTTAACGTAGCGCTAAATTCAAACTGCATGAAGGAAAAACTGTAAGTATAAAGAATTAAAATTAAAAAAATTATTTTTCACCATTATAACATTAATTAAGTTTTGTTTAATGCAATAGTATGCATTCTTAAGTGAATACATTTTCAAGTAAATGATTATACTTACAGTTTTTCCTTCACGCAATTTGAATTTCGCGCTACGTTAACTTTCCAACTATCCGCCAGATGGCAGTGTTTTTCTCTCTCACAAACAACATCTATCGGTTAGGGTATGTAGTTACGATGGTAAATAGGTTTCTCCTATTAAGTATTTCATTAACCTAATCATATCTGATGAGGTAGAAATTTTATTGACCTACAGTCAAATTTGTATGTACAAAACTCGTACAAATATTTTCGTGCATGGTTTCTGAAAAAAGTGGATCGCCTCTCGCTGCTAGGGTATGATCCCAGAACCTTCTTATTGCCATGCACGAAGATACTTGTACGAGTATCGTACGTACGTACAGGGTGTCTACAAACCGGGAAAACCGGGAAATAGCCGGGAAAAAAATGAAATTTTTTCTGTTAATGGTGAAATTCTTGTTGAAAATTTAAGCGAAGAAACACTTATTGCTCATCGAGTTATTCACGATTCCGTAACGAAATTAGGAGGTCTTCAAAATGTAACAATTACAGAATCACTGCTTCTTTCAATGAGAGGTGCACGTAAAGGGTTGCAAGATGCTTTGGATAAGCGTAAGAAAGAAAATATCGAAAAGGAGAAGACTAAAGAAAATAAAAGGAAAAGAGATAACGAGGAAAAGGAATTGAAAAGCAAAAAGGCAAAATTGTTGTCAGAAACTGCAGTTCAAATTTCTAATATTGATGATAAGTTGAGAAAGTTACAAAGATAATAACATTTCTAGTCGAATAGTTTTGTCTATAAGCTTTGATTATTTCAAATAATTTTACTCGTCGTTGAAATTAAAATATTAATTTCTTGTTTATGAATTGTTACTTAAATGTTTCAAAGATTCATGAGTATTTAAAATGACTTTAATAATTTAATTCTGTGTAGTTTTAAATAATAAATTATGTTTAAAATCCTATGTATTTCTCAAGTTTTTTAACTATTCTTCGGCAATTAAATAGTAATATATTAAAAGTATAAAATATATTTTTTAATGTTTTTAAAATTGTTTAAAGTTTATTTTTCATGATTATTATTAAATAATTAATAATTGATTAAAATTAAAGACAGTATCTACTTTATAATACAATGTAATAAGAAGAATCTTCAATTTCTTAAAACCGGGAAAAAACCTGGAAAAAACCGGGAATTTGAAATGGGAAATTTTGTAGGCACCCTGGACGTAGCTGATAACACGGTGCTACAAAAAAAAATTTTTTTTTTTAATATACTTCTTATGAAACCTATTGGAAGTTGTAGGTCACAAAAAACTAAGAAGAATGGTGTATATGAAATTCTCCATACCCTTCTAAATTTTCATTTTAGAGCCAGAAAACCATTTTTACGAATGTTTATGCATAAAAACCTTTGTAACTTTCTTATTTATGTATCGATTTCAAAAATTTTTTTCATCTTGAAACTGAGAAACAGAGCTTTTTATCCCATATCCGATATTTTTGTTTAAATTAATATTTATAAGAGGAAAATTGCAAAAATGTTCAGAAGTTGTCATTTTTCTCGCAATTTTTCAACTTTAACTGATGTTTTCATCATTAATTTTAATTTAAACATTTTTTCTCTTCTAGCGCTATTAAAGCGTATTAAATTCTGCATCCAACGAGCCCTATTTGAATAGATTTTGTATAAAATTAACTAAATTATTGTAGTTTTTCTGTTTACAGGTCTAGTAGCTGATTCTAGAACATTACAGTTTTTTTTTCTTTTTCATTAATAATTTAATTAATTTTTTAATAATTTTAAATTAATTTAATAATTTTTTAATAATTTTTATTTAATTTTATAAATGAACTGTAAACGAACACGATTGGATAAAAATACTCCAAGTTATGAAGGTTTTACTAATTTTTGTCATTTTTTGCATTTTCAGAAATAAAATAAATTCCACTTCTTGTATCAGATCTTGTACCAGATCTTGTGCACGATCTTGTACAAGAAAATATATTTAATATTTTTATACAAGAAAAAGTACATGTTCTTGTACATATTCTTATGCAGGTTCATGTACATGTACTTACACATGAAACCGTTCATATCCTTGTAAAATTATTACGCAGCTGTAAAGTTGTAAGAAAACTACTGCGCAGTCTTTAAAGTTTTTTATTTTTACTAAACGAAGACATAAATAAACATGTACAAGAAGATGTATCAAATCTGGTGCAAAAAAAAGTACATGAACCTGCACAAGCATATGTACAAGAACACATACAAATGTACATTTTTTGTACAAGATTTTGTACAAAGATTTTAAATAGGGTATAAAATAACAATTTAGAAATATTTCTATTAAAACTATATGAGAAATCTCGAATTCCAATTTAC